CTGCAGCAGGCTGCTATCCTTGGCTCGATGGCCATTCTAAGATCTGTTTTGGGTGCAGCATAGGGCTCTTCGCTGTCCCTGGTGGGCTTTTTATGCTCTGTATGTTATTGTATTCGTTTTAGTTTGTAATTGAAACACTGTGGTATTTCTGTGGGTATTCGTATTTGATCTTTCTGTGGGTGCGCATTGGAAGTTGTGCCCAGTGATGAGCTTTGCCGGCCTGAATTTTTCGCCAACTTCTGATGCTCCCCTTTCTGCAATACCTGTTGCCATGATACCTCTGAGCTTTAATGCCTGTGATGGTACATGCGCCTTTCTCCCTTCCTCTCTCTCTACCTTACTTTTTTCCATATATTATTCCGTGCTGCTTACCTTTGGCTATGATAAGTCCGGTGAGTTAGTGTAATACCTCCAATTTTTATTTTTTATTTTCAATTTGGAGTGGAATAAAGACTCATAATAATAACTGGTTTGAGGGAAAGAGACAAACGGGAAAAGTCTGAAGAAAAAATTGACTGTCACCACCAGGACTCGAACCAGGGACCCTCGCTTGTAGCCAGCGATGCTCTAACCACTGAGCTATGGTGTAGTCGTCATCCCAGCAGAGACTGTTCAACATTTTCTTCAGACTTCGTACCTAACACTTCCTGTGAATCCACACAGGCGGGTGGGACGCAGCCCTCACTGTAACCCACACACTTCACGTACAAACTAGCACGCGGGGAGCCCCAAGTCATAAAATATTAACTGGTTTGAGGGAAAGAGACAAACGGGAAAAGTCTGAAGAAAAAATTGACTGTCACCACCAGGACTCGAACCAGGGACCCTCGCTTGTAGCCAGCGATGCTCTAACCACTGAGCTATGGTGTAGTCGTCATCCCAGCAGAGACTGTTCAACATTTTCTTCAGACTTTGTAACTCACACTTCCTGTGAATCCACACAGGCGGGTGGGACGCAGCCCTCACTGTAACCCACACACTTCACGTACAAACTAGCACGCGGGGAGCCCCAAGTCATAAAATATTAACTGGTTTGAGGGAAAGAGACAAACGGGAAAAGTCTGAAGAAAAAATTGACTGTCACCACCAGGACAATAATAATAACAAGAGTCCATAACCCCCCAGAGTGTGCAACTCGTGATCCTTCTCAGCACAAATCAGTGCCGCAACGAAATCCAAACTTCATACGTCATGTAGTGAGTAGCTATGACGAAATGGGAAGTTTGGCCCGGACCTACTTCGCCCGTTTGCCCAATTTGGGGTCTTTCTTTACGAATCCACGGTCAGGTATTGTACGTAACACGCCTGGAAAGGCTCAAGTACACAAAGAATTATTTTAGAGTTGTCGAACAGTTTTCTCTTTTGAGTGTCTCTCCGATAAGAGAAGAACAATGGCCACTGTTGAACCTAAAGCAAAGCGCTCCCCATTGTCGCCGGAGTGCAGTGTCTCTGTGGACGATATTCGTCAGTTTTTGTTCGATCTGGGCTCCTCATTTTCTTCTCTCGATTGTCGAGTGTTGGAAATTGTTAATTCTTCCAGCACCTGGATAGAGATTGATTGCTCGAAGTCTGTGCTTCTCACATGCAATGGAACACCCGTCAATTTGAACCGTCTGGTTGTGAACCCAGCAGGAACATTCACTGCAGGTTGAAGCACCTCTACTTCGAAATCGATCGGGTCTTCATGCCGTGTGCCAAGAGCTATTTCCATCAAATCTTGTAAATCTATATCCATGCCTATTCTTGCTATCCCGGAGTCACGAACTCTCCCAATACAAGCTTTTCAGACAACGAGCAGAGAAACTCTCTTGAAATAAAAAAATTCTGTGACTGTGAAATCAAAGCCGTTCTGCTGACACTGCATAGCCCGTGCGCGTGCAGCAAACGTTTTACGTGACACTTCCGTGGCTTGCTTCAAAGCAACCTTCAACTTGGAACCCCCGCCGGATGTACCAGATATGCACATGGGGATATGGCCCCATCCGCCCATGCTTGCCCGGGGACCGGATGACGCAATGTTTGGATTTCGTTGCGCCAGACCCCAACCTGGAGTTGCACACTCTGGGGGGTTATGGACTCTTGATAATAATAATAAAGTCGTCATAATAATAATAGCGTTGTTAGGGTGTATGAATCTTCTATCGCCAACCATCTTGTTCAGAATAGTGATTGTCGTTCTAGTTATGCTGATGATTGCTTTTCTGTTTGGTCTCGTTCACGTAGTCAAAGGTATTTGCGTGTATTGGAGTCTATTTACATTTTACCACCAAGCCGATTTTGTGTAGGCAGAAAAAGAATTTGTTTACGTTGAAATTGTTTGTGAATTTAGATCAGTAGTTCTCGTTTGTGGTTGCATGGTAACTTTCTAGTGGTGAATTTATCGCATCTGTTGTCACCTGATATCGTTGAATGGTGTAATGTTTCTTTCAGCTCTCATTTTATCGCGCTAGTTAGGGTCTAAATTATTACTTGCATTGTGCGTATATATATTGAGTTAGGAGCTTTTGTTGATTTGCCAGTAATCCTCTGATGAGATGGCGACGAAAACGTTTAGGAACAAGCTTCTTTATTTACATGAAAACAAGTTTTGCTTATGGTGTTTGTACTGAGTGCGCAGCTTACTCTATTTATTGCGTTGAATAATAATAAGGAATGTTTACATGATTTGTTGATGTGTCAGTAGCAGGAAGTGGTTAGTAATGCTTCTTTTGGTGAAAACTTCTAAACGCAGAATTGAGACCTCCGGATATGGGGGGTCGACTTATAACCGAGGTCGACTTACAACCGGTAAAATACGGTACTTTGTTCTCGTTCTTGGCCGTGCACGTGTCCACATATAACACAAACAACAGCAGCTGAATAAAAAAATCAGAAAAATTGCCAACGCGTCGAAACGCAATCGTTGTGGCCACTACTGTAAAGCGTGAAATTTGCGCGGAGTTTTTAGTTCGCGTTTTCAGAATCCGGACAGGTTTGCGAGGTTTTAATTTTGCGATTGCAGAATATACTACTGTGGCATTCTTGCTAAACCTTTCATGGATCTCCTTTTCACGCTGTCTAAATTTCGCGATTTCCACGCGGTCGCGAATTTCACAGAAATTAGACCATCAGGCAATAATTTCACGGTTTACAGTAGTTACACAATAGCATAGCACTTGACGTACAACTGTCAGCATGGGCCCTTCCACTTCACCACCAATACTTCATAGCCTGACGTGGCTCTAGTTCTAGCTCAAAGCAAGGCTGCCTAGTATGAGTAAATGGACTAGAACATGTTCGATTTGGTGGACGGATCCAAAACTACCTGATACGATACACACTGACTCTTGCACTAATCCCTACTGTAGGCGACAACCACCTCCGTGGTTGGGAAAAGAAAAATATTTTGCCGGATCAGATTTTACTGAAAGAGTGACCAAATAGCTGTCTTACAAGTTGTAATAAAACTCATGAAGTAGTGGACTCTACAGTGATGAGTCTATCCTGTATCCTGCAAAAGACGCAGGAAACGTGACTAGTATTTGTACACTGGACGCCAACATCCCAGTCTTCTCCTGCACGATCTGTTTGACATTGACAATAGGCCGCAGTCACACCGAGCTCGATTCAGCCGAAAATGTCCTGCAAGCGACTTTCAGCCGCGTGGCTGACTCTCAGCCGTTTTTCCCGCTTGTTTCAGCCACAGCTTATACAAGCGGCTGAAGGCCAAATTTCAGTGCGCTTGCAAGCTTGGAACACACCATGTACTGGATACGAGGAACTGATATCGATGCTCTTTCTTGTTTCCGCACTATGCCTTTGCCTTTGGTTTTGACCGTGTGATTCTGTCTATCCAACAGTTTAGTTAGATTTTCTCCGATGACCATGGATTCCTGGACTGTGCCTCTAAAGCGTAGCGGTTTGGATCTGTGCTTCGAGGCCAAGACAAGGCACCAAACTCACAACTGAATTCATGAAGAACTTGAGCGTGGTACGAAGAAAAGAGTGGATTGCGACGGAGTTGAAGAACAGCAACCGTCGGAGCAGAAAGCTCAACATCAGGAAGCAGCACTCTGATCATCGCACCCATGTACATGCAAAGGGTAGAAATAAACAGAGCAAGATTTTACAATTCAGGATACGGGTTTACTTTGCTTCTTCATCAAAATTGAACACTGCAACAAGTACAGTTGTAATTGTAGATCGCCACGGTTCTGCTTTCCGTTTTTTTTTGCAAACGTTGCCTGGTCACTGTGCCTGCAGGGTACAACTTACAGCCTGTTAGAGCGTGTTCCTGTCACTCGAGTTGAACCCTTGAACCTTTGAGTTGAACCGTGGTGTGAAAGTAACGTAGCCTGCATGCACAGTGACCAGATGACTGGGGTACGCATGAGCATGTGACTGCTCAGACCAAAACCATGTTCGGTTGCCACTGGCGGATTCAATCGATTGGGAATAAGGGCCAAACGCTGCATCGTAGCCTTTCGGACCAAAACCAGTCGACTCAGCGTGCAAAAGACTACAACATATGGGCCAATCGCGGTCATCTGTGCTTTCATATTTTAAAGAACGAAATGGCCGTTTTCAGTGACATTTTGCATACAAATCCCCAACATTGTAGCCACAGTTCAGCGGTGTAGTTGCTATGCACGACTTTTGGCTTGAACTATGCATGCAAGCCACATGCATATACACATCTGGAATCCATATGCATTATATTACGCACAGGCATATCTGCAATGCATTTCTGTCATTTTTATATACGTGATTGTACATATTGCATACTATTTTGTGAATTTCTGCTTTTACAGTGCAGTGTTGCTCAATGAAATCCAGTCGCGTCACTCAAGTACGCGCTGAGCGTTCCGCAGCCCTCGACTTGAGAATACTGGGCTGTGAAATGATGCAAGGCGCAAACCTGAGGGACGTAACTGGATTTCATTGAACAGCACTGTTCTACATGTAGTACATGATTGTATTACTAATGTAGTGCTACATGATCTAACCAGATATTTTCTTACCATTCTGCTGCTGGGCCGTACACCTGCCAGCATATAACACGTACAACAGCAGCTGAATCAGAACTTTTGCCGATGCGTCCAAGCGCCATCGTTGTTGACCATTTGCACTGCCACTGGTCACACGTAGCATTCTGAATTCTGGTACTTGACGTTCCACTGTCAAGATGAGCTCTTCCAGTTCCACTTCACCACCAATAGTAAAAAATACTTCTAGTTCTAGCTCTCAGCAAGGCTGCCTATCAGTCAATCGACTAGAATGTGTTAGATTTGGTGGACGGATCCAAAACTACCTGATACGATACGTGTACACTGACTGTTGCACTACTGTAGGCGACAACCACCTCCGTGGTTTGCAAAGAATAAGATTTCGCTGAATCAGATTTTACTCAAAGGGTGACCAAAACCTGTCTCACTAGTTGTTCGTCTTGGCCCTGTCAGGCCTTCACCTCTAGACTAATCTATAGAGACTGCACTCTCTATCGTTCAGGATGAGAAAATGCTCACTGGTCCTGCGAAACAATCCACACATAGCCTTGCAGCGTAGACCTACGGCAAACCGTAGTTATCGCGGACAGCCGAGCAGCAGGCAAAAGCCACGCGCGTGGCTAGGCGCGCAACTCGGGGGTGTCTGGCATGCAACGGCGGGCAACCGTACTACTAGGGAAAGCCCAGGTTGCACCATGAGCAGTGTACGCCGCGCCCACATGCACAGGCGAGACTACCCCATAGTGCATGAAGGTTGTACAAGCTACAGTCCATTTCAAAACTATACGCTTACCTACTATTATAGGCAAAAACCGTTATGCCAGCATCTATACCACATAAAATCTGTGATCACTTTGTGCATAATTTTTTCCAAATTGGGCGTCTGTTGTTATCCAATCGTTTAGAAACTATGAGAGTAACTAGCTTGTGGAGCGATCCTGAGCAATATTCCGAAAACTATTCTCAAAAAGTTCCAGCCAAATTTGAAATATTTCAAAAACCCTACGCGTCTATAGTTTTGAAATGCACTGTAGTATTGATGCAAGGATTACTACAGACAGGGCTCATGTATGGTGCCTACATAACTTCATAAGGAAGCAGGTTCTTTCGTGGCACGAAAGGGCTCCAGCTGCAGCGCGCGTACTTCAGCCAAGCGGCAATGCATAGTACATTTCTGCCATGTGAACACAATATTTATATTTAATAATAATAATAATAATAATAATAATAATAATAATAATAATAAAGTAGGCCCGCTCCTAAGCCTATTTTTCAGGTTTATTGAGTTTACTAAGGATATGATGTGTAATGGACCACTCGGGAGAGGATTGCGCTGTCCCTCCTGCTCGTGCGCGGAGGAGATTGGAATGGACATGGGAGGACAACCGGGATGTGATAAAGGCGTACTTGCTTGCTACCGAGTGTGGACGGCTGCAGCTTGGGTACGTGCGGCGTATGCATGATATATGGACCGCTATGAGGCCTGATAGACCGGTGAGTGAGGGTCTGTTGGCGGATAGAAGGCGATATATCACTAAAAACAATAAAATTTCGAAGGTGGAAGAAGACGTCTTGCGGAAGCAGATGATGGAGGAGCGGAACCAAAGAGCGTCTGAAACTTCTACCACCATGGAAACCAACTCAGCTGATGAAACTAACTATAATGTAACCGTGGAGACTGAGCATGCTGAGCTGTGTACTAGTGGTACTACTAGTAGTACTAGTATGGGTGATCTCTCCGAGATTACACCAGCGACGCAGGCTACACTGCTACTTGCATCTACACCAACGGGTTTGAATGCTGGGGCAGCCCTGGCTTTGACACCTCCAGAGCAAGGTGACAGCCTGCAGCCTGCTACAGCTGTGCTAGTAACTACTGATACAAGCAGTGACAACCTAGTGCAGGGGCCGGGGATGCCTTCACAAAGCAGCACTGACCTTACTCATCCTCAAGATGGAGAAACTGACGCCATGGATGCACTCAACATTGACACCACTAACGCGCTCAGTGAGGCATACTTGAGATGGAGAAATGTACCCATGTCCGAAAGGCCTAGGTTACCTGTACCTCGCCATGTGCCTCAACGCAAACTCGATCAGGTGACATCACTTGTGAACAAAGCAATCTCTGGAGTGATTAACACCACTAGTAAAAACAAAGATCTTCAAATGGAAGATCTCAATTGCTTAGTATATGTTGCTGCTCGATGTTCCTTGACCAGATGTGGCATTTCCTTGTCTGAGACGAACGGTGAAAACGCTAGCGGCAAGCCGGCGAGCTCGCGACCACCGGAACCGACTTGGTTAGTAAAATCGCGCAACAAAGCGAAGAAATTACGGGCAGATATATCTCGACTAACAATGATGTTGAAAAACCCTGCTGTCAAGCACCAACGGTTCTTTACTCAGTACGGAATATCCAACACTTCCCAGATTGGATACGTCCTGGAACAGAGGAAGCTGGAATTGCTTGCGCTAGCGGAGAGGACAAGACGTGATAAACACATCTGGGAGAGCAGGAGAGCTAACACACTATTTCGCACAAATGAGAAAGAATTCTACCGTAGACTGAGAAAGGAACCGGAGCAGCAGCATCCCGGGGAAATACCGAGTGAGGGTGCCGTATTCGAGTTCTGGTCTGGTATACTAGCCAAGCCTGTGCCGTTTGATGAGTCATCAGGGTGGTATCAAGAACAAAGAGTGGAATATGAGACTACCATTGCAGAGGATGAACCCGTATCTGTGACTCAACAGGCACTCCAGGACACGCTAGCTAAGGTCAGCAGGTGGAAAGCTAGTGGTGTAGACGCAATTCATGGTTACTGGTGGAAAAAATTATCTAATCTACACATTGCCCTGCGAATCGCCTTCCAGAAGACCCTTGTCGGTGATTGGCCAATTCCGGAATGGTTGGTGACTGGCCGCACAATCCTGCTGCCCAAGACGGAGCCACCCACATCTAACCCAGCCCAATATCGCCCTATCACCTGTCTACCCACACAATACAAGATCCTGACAGCCGTAGTTGCTAGTCTCATGTGGAAACACATTGACACCAATTCGATACTCCCAGATGAACAGAGAGGGTGTACCCCGGGAACACTAGGCTGTAAGGAGCAACTTCTTGTCAATAAGATGATAATGGAGCACGCTCGGCATAATAAGCGCAATATCTCTGTTGCGTATATCGACTTCAAGAAAGCCTATGACAGCGTTTCTCATGTATGGATTATTCGGATGCTGGAGATGTACAAATTTAGCCCAGCTCTTGTCAAGTTCTTGGAGGCAAGCATGCAGCTCTGGAATACGCACATGAGTTTATCATATCAAAATGCACGGGTCTCTACAGAATCTGTCAGGATTCGCCGTGGTATCTTCCAAGGAGACACGCTATCACCCCTCTTGTTTTGCTTAGCTATTAACTGCATTTCAAGAGAGGTGCAGAAGACAGGCGGCGGATATCAAATGCAAATTGGACAGGTCTCAAAGGTCGTTTCTCAACTCCTGTACATGGATGACATTAAATTGTATGCCAAACATCGCAACCAGCTGAAGCCCATGATCAACGTCGCCCAGATCACAGCTTCGGCCATTGGCCTGGAGTTTGGTGTTTCGAAGTGCGCCACGCTTCATGTACACCGGGGAGTGCTTGAGTCAAGTGATGCGGAGCCTGTCGAAACACTGTTGGGTATGGCTTTACCCACCCTGCAAGAAGATAACATGTACAAATACCTCGGATTCATTGAATCGGCTGCGCTGCCGCATGGTGAGATAAAGAGCAAGCTTCGTGAGGATTATGGAAAGCGATTAGATGCGATCTTCAAGTCTGGATTAACGGCTGGATATTTAGCAAAGGCAGTAAACACATACGCGGTGCCACTGCTCACCTACAGCTTTGGCATCATCAACTGGCGACCCGTAGAATTGGAGCAGCTGGATATCTTGCTCAGGAAGAAGCTCACCAAGAAGGGATGGCATCACCCTCGGGCTGACAGAGAGAGGGTTCATTTGGTGCGCGCCGAAGGCGGCCGTGGATTCCAAAGTGTGGTAGATCTACATGAACGATCCATCATCCAGATTAATAAATACATCGAGGGCCACCAAGACCACATTGCCATTGCTCTCCTAAAACACTACCATCATAAAAAAGCAAAATACTCTGTCTCCAGTGATGCTGCGAAATATTTGGCAAAGATTGGTATGGAGGAGTCAGCCACAAAGGAGCAAATACGCCAGGGATACCAGCGGCATCGGGAGGAGACAATCAGAAAGAAGCCTCTGCATGGCCAATTTTGGCTTATGCTGCAGGATGCTGAGCTGGATCGAGGGCTCTCCTTTGCTTGGTTGCGGTCTTCCGCTTTGCGTCCGGCGACAGAGAGTATTGTCATGGCCATACAGGACCAGGCTATCCCAACACGGAACTTACAAGAGATATTTAATCGAGGAACAGGTGTGTCAACGAAAACGAGTTGCAGGATGTGTGGCAGGGACAAGGAAACGGTTTTCCACCTTATTGGAGCGTGTACAGCTTGTGCAGGAAGTCACTATATCAATCGCCACAACAGGTTAGCAAAATATCTCCACTGGACATTGTGCAGGAAGTATGGTGCATCGGACATTTCGAATAAGTACACAAGTCACCAACTCACCAACGTCGTGTACAGTGCTGAAACGGATGTGTCAATCTACTGGGAAGTGCCAATTCCAACAGCAGCGCCCGTTGGAGCAAACAGACCCGACATTATTATCAAGGGCAAAGATGAAGCGTTCCTTGTGGACGTAAGTGTCCCTCTGGATAGGAACATCCGCCGAAAATCTGTGGAAAAGATACAGAAATATCAAGGCCTGAAGCGTGAGGTGGAGCAGATGTGGCAGGTGCGGGCCAAGATCGTGCCAGTAATTGTGGGGGCATTAGGTGGATTAACCCCCTCGACTGCTGACTTTGTGAGGGAACTGGATGCCGGAGCCAGTGTATCGATCTTGCAAAAGGAGGCGCTCCTTGGCACAGTTGACATCATCAGGTCAATAACTCAGATGAAATAATAATTACACTCTAATAAGTTACATTGGTTTGCGAATGCCCATGGTTATGGTTGCTGCTATTAGTTGAAGCACCTATTTGCAGAAAATAATAATATTATGATCGTAATATTAATCACTTGCCAATAACAAAGACAACAATAATACCATCAGCCCCCATTCACCGGTTTTGACGGTGCTTCACTGATGTTGAATGAGAAGAATTATATTGCTGCCTTCAGTGCTATTGTGTCGCTGAAGGGCTCGATTTCAGATTTGATGACGGTTACTTTTCAACGGATTTTGTTTTCTGATTTAGCTCTCTTGCTATTACTGTACCTGCTTGTGTTAAGTCTCATTCTCGCAGATTAGTTGTATAATAGATTGTACATGCATCATTGTAGATTTGCTGTTCACAGTATTTCTCTCTTTTTTCTTTCTTTTTTCTCAGTCTTCCTTATTACATTTTCTTCACATACAACAGCAGTACTCCCCATGGTCTTAAATGACCCGGGATGCTGCATAATACAAACACAA